CTCTTACAAAATTTTGGTCTACCACCTTAACGGCACCAATAATATTATTTATAGCCATACAAAACTAAAGCTTTCAATACTAACAGTCACTAAACTAAGCTGCAGATGGAAGGTCAGCCAGAAAGACCCTTAAACCGGGAAAACATCAGTCAGTTGGAGGCCAGTACTCAAATAAAATCATCATCAATCATTGTCAAAAAGATTCTTTTATCCCAATAGTATTACAAGATAAACTAGCAATGTCTTCAAGGCGTGTTCAATAATATCATTATTATTGGAAATTGGTCAGAGTTGCTGAATCGAAACGCTGTGGTTTATTATATGACAAGTTTGTGGTTTTATATTTATTTCTACTAAACACGCAATCTACGATGGCTAAACAAATAAGAATATACTTGGATATAAACCAATGACAAAGGTTCTTTGGTCTTGTAGTAAGTATTCTTTATTTTACACTAAAGGAAACTTAATAAAGACAAAAGAAAGTCCTTCGGCACATATAATATTAACATTTCGGACATCTGACACACAACGCCATCTAGTTTCAAACTAAGCAGATAGCGTGACTGAAAGAATACTTTTATACATTTTTTTTGTAAATACCTAGAAAACACATATTATACATAGAAAACACCAAACGTCGGACTGGACTGGAGTGAGAGGAGGCCTCACAGAAAGCGGGTGTTAAGGAATTCTCTCGATGTCTTTCATCGAGTGAGTGAGGTTACCGGCACCCTCCTGCGGTAGTACTCCTTCTCTCCCTGATTCTAGGGGGTGACTCAAAGGGCGGCAAAGTAATAAATATTTTTACATAAAATTATCTTTGGTCTGCGAGCGAAGGCCTCCCGGCAACAAACAGTTCGAGTAGGAGGGGCATTGCCGTCTTAAGCTATCGCTTATTCTCCCCAAAGGTCAGTTTGTAAATTTAAGGTATTTTTTTATATTTTCTGGCCACATTTCCTTCTATATTTAACTCCGAATTTTTACTCCCTTCTACTTCCTAAAAAGTAATTTCGTATTTCCTAAAATTCAAATCGGTACGCGTTAAATAGGCCTTTAACTACCCTGTCGGGGTTATAAGCGTGAATGTATGTGTATATGTGTTGTACGAACTCGTACTTACGAACTGTACTTATCAAAAAAAAAAAGGTAATACATTTAACACATCACACAAAGACTATACATACGTTGTGAAGGCCTCCGTTTATGTATTTTGTATTATTACTTTATGTCCTGTTTATGTAAAGGTTATCAACGTACCTATAGGAATCTTGGTTACCTAACAAAATTGTATTTGTGGTCGTACGATACACAAAAAAATTGGCGGTCATTATTTATGCAAGCCATATTTTATTCGACTGCCATCGTATATGTAAACAATCATATTTTCGAGACAATATTTCAATTTTATATTACATTTATACAACAATGGTACTTTATATACTCTCGTCAGCTTTGAAGTCTACTATGATACGGCTGAACTTCGATTTTTTTGACCGCCACAAACCAAGTACTAGGTGATATCGTAGTTCTGTAGAAAGACTGTAGTCGGACTTTCTGGGCTGCCATAACTACATAACAGAAGTTCGTATGGCAACCGGGACGGGAGAGCACGCGAAGCCGTCGGTCCGGAAGCACAGATTGGTCTCAGTGTGTTAAGAATGATCATCCATAGACTGTCGCGACTAGGATTGTTTAACTTTGCAATGTTTGCCCCTCGTTTGCCTCCTATATCTATACATCTGTACAAATAAATAAAATTGGAGTGTCTGTTTGTAATATTAAAATAACCGCTTTTTACTAAATGCATATGTATGTTTACACGATACATATGCCAAAATAACATTTTTTACAATTTTTGTCTGTCTGTTTGTTCCGGGTAATCTCTGGAACGTCTGGACCGATTTCGACGGGACTTTCACTGGCAGATAGCTGATGAGATAAGGAGTAACTTAGGCTACTTTTTTTTAGACTAGCTTCGCGGGTAAACGCGGGTAACACCGCGGGTCTCAGCTAGTAACAAATTATAACAGTAGTATTAACACAGAGCAGACAAGCCGTACTTTTCGGCTTAATACTTCAGCTATCATCATGAGAATATTTAAAACCTTAATGGAGTTTTCACGTTCTGACTTAGCCACACTCAGCTTTTCCAATCAACTTACACAACACAAGCGTACTTTTATGTTAGCCAATTTAATGTCCTGATACCGGCTCATGAAATATGGTGTTTCTAACAAACTCATTTTATCAGATTGCTATTTATTTTATTTGTGTCGAGAGATTATTGTGTTGGTCTCATTGTGGACAATAGGTCATTTGAAACAGCGCAATATTAACACATGATTTCTACCACCCTGTTATATAAAAACTATTTTTTTTTACAAGACAATTCCCGCCTTTGCAAAATATTCTGTGTCGCGGGGGACTTTACAAACATAAAATGAAACGGACACAAAGAACACCCAGACTCAAGACAACAATTTGTAGATCACACAAAGTGTTGTCCCATGTGGCGATCGAACCCACAACACATAAACCACTACGCCATCCATGCAGTCAAACTCATCATTTACATTGTGGAGGAACGGGTTTCATGTCCATCTAACACTCGCCTGGTTGGAGGGTTTGCGTCCAACCGGGCGAGGTGATCATGCCTGGTGGGCTGTGGTCCAACGGTTGATGTTGGGAAGTTATATATACCTATAAATGCTAATTGTTATGAGAACTTTTCATATCGCGATACAGGATTGGCAGTAGCATTACTCCGTAGTTTGGTGTGTCTTCATTAGATGGCACTGAAGTATGTTTTATTTTACTTTATGTGGAAGTCGCCACAGCACATCTGAGAGAATTCTAGCCATGCAGTAAGCCCGAAGTCAATAAAATTTTTTTGGAAGATAATTCATAGATAGGGACTCTACTTCCAATTTCCACTGACTTCAATCTAGAGGATATAGGTTAGAAAACATCTTGATATTAATATGTTAACATTGAGGCGTTCTAATTTTTTATACGTCACTAACGCACGTTTTTGGGACCTTCAAATTTTATTAGTATCATGTAAGCCACTTGTATTTTTTATTAATATATCATTTATTGCATATCGTGAGTGTAGTTCTAACACAGCGCAATTCTTTGTAGTTGTAACATTTTGATACGAATCTGGTAATTTAAAGTGCATGTCTGCTTTCGAAATCCACAAATAGATTGTCCGCTAAAACCGCATGTACAAATCTATCGATCTAGCGTGTAATCTCTGAAAAATCTCCAATGTCTGACCTCTTTACGTCGCAGATTAAATCTAAGCTTCGCTCGTGATTTTAGCGGGAATTACGGTACATTACAAAAGTTTTGTCAGGTGGTTTTATGGAAATTGCAAATGGATGTTTAATCTACAAATGTATAAAACGTGCTTAAGACCCTTGGTAACCTTTTAAATTATGCAAGAACGAAATAGAATTACTTCATACAAAATGAGGTACGTATATAATTTTATAGAAAATGGAAGAAATTAAAACCATGACAATGGGAGATTTCATTACAATTAATGGATGGTATTAATAAGTGTTTTTTTCCCTTGAGTAGGCCAACACCTCCTTTCTAAGGAGAGGCCTATGTTCAGCAGTGGACTATTAAAGGCTGTTGATGATGATGATGATGATGATGATGTAACAAATATGAATGCCAACGAGTGGTCTTTTGGTTTAGTGGTTAATAATCCTGAAACATTAATTACTATTGGTTCAGCTGTTTAGTTGCGCGGGAACATCGGGCTGGAGACATCTATACAAATAAATAAAATTGAAGTGTCTGTTTGTAATGTCAAAATAATAGATTATAATAATAGAAAAAAATATTTGCACGATACCTAAAAACCAGTTTCAATATTTTTTATCTGTCTGTCTGTTTGTTCCGGGTAATCTTCGAAACGGCTGGTCCGATTTTAATAATATTTTGCTACCAGGTACCTGTCTTTATAAGGAGTAACTTAGGCTTTTTTCCTCTCAGAAAAACCATATAAAATTTATCCCAGTCGGGGAATCGAGCTCGAGGCCTCATGGACTGCAGTCGCATACCGTACTACACCACTAAGGCAGCGCTTTGCAAATTCTACGCGAACATAGTCGCGGGTACCAGCTAGTATATTCATATAGAGCAATGTGTTTAACCCTCAAACTATAACCCTCCTTTTTCGATTTCCTGTAGTTGGGTTAAAAGGTTGTTCAGAAGTACAAGCCAATAAAATATTCAAACCACATAAATAAAGTAACGTACCGCAGTCTGTTTTGTGGTTTTCATATATCGGAGTTGACCTACTAGTGTGTTATGAACACCTACATGTGTATTATTTAAATAAGTGTTTCTGTCTGTAAACACGCAAAACAAATACCTTGAAATAAATCACCGAAGTGAAGAGCTTCGGTGATTTAATAAATATAAAGAAATGCAATCACGGTATCTACTATAAACACGTATAGCGACAATGGTGTTAATGCCCTAGAATGCGGACAATATAGGCAGGAACAAGACGATGATTATCCCTTAATAAATTCTATTCAAGACACATCATGAAAAGTTAAGCGCACAAGACCGGAGCAGTTACAACCCACACCACTTACCTAATACCGGTTAGAACCAGAATCAATCCTACACGACACGAAGCACTTAAGTCTATCTGAACACGCCACCTGATTGTATAACTCTTTGAGGTCATGGCTGATTTATGACCGGACACTGTCGTATATGTGGGACGGGGGAAATGCGTTTTTCTGCACTAGGAATACCTACGTCCTGTGTCGCGGGGGACTTTACAAATAATTATGAAACGGACACAAAGAACACACAGACTCAGAACAACAATTTGTGGATCTCACGAGGGAGGAACGAACCCACATCTCTCAGGGCGGCGAGGAGACCACTTAAACCACTACGCCAGCCGAACCATCCACTCTAAAGTGAACTCGTTTTAGAAAGTGTTTGAGGTTTCCTGAGATTTATTAATGTGAAGACTTACTCCTGACTGTAAGGTTGACCCTGTCAATATACGCTGTCTCGTTCTCTACTGAACACTCGTATAATCCCGCATCCTCTACTCCTAGGTTTCTTAGCAGTAAGCTGCCATCGACCTGTAACAACACAAAAAATATTATCTTTAGGTTATATAATAATGCGTAAAGAGAATACATTTGAAGAACAATAAAAATGAGAACTTTAGAAAATCAAAATTATAAATAATATGTGATATAATTCAATAATTATGTGACAACAGCTACATAAACGAAAACGAGTTCAGTACTTATATTAAACAGTCAAAGTACGCAAACTTTATCATCAGGCAAATGCATCAGTATCATGATGGTAAGTGTAGCCTTTGGTGCTTTTAGAGTTACATCACTTCAATCCTAAAATGTAAAAATAAACCTAATAAAAGTTCATAATATCGCTTAGTGCTCATTACAGGATCACAAAGTCTCATGTCTGAACTAAGAAGACTTAAGCGACTCCTATAATTGGGTGACTGAGTGATACTCCATTAAAGCATTTGACAAATATATCAACAATATAAGCAATTAAGATACATATTATAGTATAATGCCCTGTATGTAACATAGGTACTCATGTATCTATTTTCTCAGGTATGCAGCACGCGTTTAGGGGTGAAGATGGCCTCACATTTTGCTGATACCCCTCGCAAACAACCACCTTTGGAGAAATCGATTGCAGTTCAAGGCCTCAGCAAGGCCGGGTTCCCACCGGTGCCTAAATAATTCGATACTTCAGCTAAACGGCGCTACGGTAGTTAACAGCAGTAGTTTTACAATGGCTATATATTTTTTTTAAATACATCACGTCCTGTTCTAGCCAGTAAGATGTAGAACGTAAAAGTTATACTGTCCCAAAAAAAGTACCTTTAATGTTTATGTATGTATCTATGTAGCTGAAAAACAAAATGGAATACAATAGAAATAAACTTTATCGTATGCCAATAAAAAAATTCTTACAAAAATATATTAGGTATACATCAGGTAAAATATGTTCAAGGTGATGTTATCGATAGCTGTCTGAACCAATTTGGATATTTAGGGTTTCGTTACAATTTTACATTATATCAAGTGACACTGGCTACATATTTTTTACCTGAATCATGTTATAAGAACGTCCAAAAAGTAATAAAGAACCTTTACCTTTAAGAGTAATAACTTCTCCTCGTGAAACTTACAAAATAGAAGTGGTACTGATTGCCATTATGAAAAGCTCTTTATGTATCACAATCTATTTATCAAATAGAGTACTAGTCGTATGTACTTCGAATGATAAGTATCTTCTGTTACGAATATAATCAACTAATGTTATTGCCTTGATTATTTGTCAGCGTCAAATGAGCACAATAGAATGGCGCCCAACGAAGGGCCGTGATGGATTGTAGGCAGCCTCGATTGCTTGGGTCACATTTGACAAAAAGGCTCATCCCCGTCTGAATCGATGACCACACAAAGCCGCCTAAAATGCTTGTTATACGATCTACCGGAAAATGAAGTTCGATTTTCTGAATGTAATATAGACGGTATTAATACCGTTTATTACTTATACGTGTTATTCACACGAGAAGAAAATAAGGAATAACATATGTAGTTAATGCAAGTACAAACAAAAACCTGTAGCTAAAATGGCTCTTATTCTATTAATGATTAATCAAATTTTATTCAGGCAACAAAGTTTTGAAATAAAGGGCTTGTTTTTCTTCTCAATTCTTATAAACACTGCAATAGTCGCAATTTCAATCTATAATCGCAATTTCAATTGCCAAATCTATATTTACTTATGCGGAGTTATGGTGAAATTTCTACTCACACGAAACAAAGTACTATGCGCAACTGTTTGAGAGAATTAGTTGTCATAGCAACTGAAGAAAAAGCTAGTCCAAGAATGAAATCCGAGTAAATTATGCGACATTTAAACTGTTTGATTACAACCTAGGTAATGTAGAATAGCAACATACCTACATATATGTATGTGTGCTTTAACCAAGGCCTTCATTCCAGTTCCATTTCGATGTATCCCTGAGACACGGGTATAATTAGAAGATATCATACCTACATAAATAGTATGTTAGTAACTTATTTACCCCTATTACGTCACTAGACATAGTCTAGCTCGATGTAGATGTTACGTAAATTGCTATTTCATAAAGAGGGTTCGATACTAATACGTACAACGTACGTGCCTGCGTTGATGAACGTTTAGTAAGTAATAGAAAACGTGAGTAATAGTTTGGGTTAAATTGTTAACAGAAAAACCTTGATGTTCGAGGGTTGTTATATGTATGTTCATTGCTCGGGCTTGTCACTCTTCAGTTGAGCGATCTCAGACAGGCCACTTGACTTGAATGGGAAGAGCTGCGAGCGCTCGGTGTCATTTTTACCGTCCCTAAATGCCGTTGAACGTATATTCGATTATTTGTTAAAAAAATATAATTTTATTGATAGTACAGTAGTATTAGTAATATTGCAATGAATAAAAATTCAAATATCTTTCTATAATTTATTTGGTCTTTATTTGTCTTTTGTATAATTTATGTAACAATTAACGGAGTTAAAGATAAACTATATACACTCGAGAGCAATGTACATATACATATGTACAGGTCAGGTAAAGATACCCGAAAATCTCTGCTTACCGATATATTTTGGAACATGTTACGCGATATTTCCGCCATTGACAAAACAAAATCAAAAATTCTTGTTTAATTAAATTAATTGCAATCAAGGTTATTCCATTATTAATTTGAGAAAAAGAAAACTCTCGGATGACAAAATAAGAGATGAAGAATACAGACTATAACAATTTCTAATGATTTATGTGTATTTAAATCGGCTACCAACGACTTAAATGTTTTATTTTTTTGACAGCAATTTCATTTATTGACAAAGTATATTACATTAGCCGCCCCCAGAAAAGAAACAAAAAAGTGCTAAGAAACTGCATAATAATGTAATATTATACAATGAATTCCACAACCTCTCCAAAGTTAGTATTAGTTTTTGTCATTTTTATTTTATACAGACTCAAGAGTTCTTCGTAGAAATTAATTAATGTTTGTCTGCTAATACTGGCCGACTCCCAGTCTTCGACTGACGCAGTTATAGGCTTCTTGCTTTATCGTTCAAAGTGGACTGTAAGAGCCAGCGCAGACCCCAGAGGAGCTCAGCAAGAGTATTTTTTTAGGGCACTCGAAAATAAACTTTAAAACTATAACCATAAAGTGCATACATGTTTCAACATGCCAAAAAATGCTCGCGCGGCCTCGGGCCACATGAATGCACTTTATAGCAAGGGGTTTTAAGTTTATTTCCGAGTGTCTTAAAAAATGATCTGCGGTCTAAGATTTTAAGTATAGCCTACTTACACCTGTATGCACGCAAAATAGCAGTTGCTTTATCTATAACTTGAAACTATATTGGTTTCTAATCGATTGTAGACTGTAGGTATTTTTGATCATATATAGGTTTGGAGATCAATGTCTCCAAGGTAACTCAATATTTGTGTGATGAACACCATTATTTGTTTTGTGTCTGGGGTGTACCTTATCTATAATAAGTAATGTAAGTATTTAGAAATATTTAAGTATGTTCATCAGCAATCTGGTTACTGGTTACCATAGTACAGGCTCTGTCTAGTTTGGGATCAGACAGCCGTGTGCAAGGTTATTTTTATTATTGTGATCTAAGTAACAGACAATTCAGCCATAAGAATTAATTTATATTACCAGGTTTTCAATAAAATCATTATCAATTTGGTAATATTTAGAAAATATGGGCAGATACGTCAAGGCTCAGTCAACTAAAGACACGTCCTGCCATTACCGGCCCAACATTGTTTGATGCTCTGTCAAAGCCGCCGCTATCCCCTATTAACACACCATATCCACCATAATCCATTATATACAGCTACATCGTACGCTCTATGGCACATTACATAGGTGTTGCGTCAAGTAAAGATCGATTGAGGCCTATTCCAAAGTATATAGAGGCTAAATGTTTGTAAGGCTATTGTGTCAAGAACGAGAATAACAGCGAGAGGCGTATGGGTTCGTGTAGTTTATCTTGCTAAATTAGTTGGAATTAAAGTTTTAATGTTTTACCGGTAAATTTCGGCAAGGCTCCTTTACATATAACGGGCCCGTTGGTCTAGTGGTTAGTGATACTGACTGCTAATTCGTGAGTTCGATTCTTATCCAGAACAAATAATTGTGTGATGAGCACGATCATTTGTTCTTATGTCTGGGTGTAATGTATCTATAACAAGTATGTATTTAGAAATATATAAGTACGTTTATCAGCAGTTAGGTTACCGTAGTACAGGCTCTGACTCGTTTTGGATCAGAGCGACGTGTGTGAGATGTGTGAATTATCATTATATGTTTTAGGTGTTTCAATCCTAAGCGCCAATAGTTTTCGCCGTTATCAAAGCGTAGAGACCACATGAACTAGATGTTGTACTGGCAAATTTTGGATTTAAAAGAGTCAATCATTATCATTTAATATTGCATCCTTATGGTGGTACAAAGTAACAGGTCAAGACTAACATTCAGTACCACTTTACTTGGGATGACGACACGAATATTCATTCTATTATTTAAAGTTGAACGAATAGCGAATTCGTTTTCTCGCTCACAGTGGTACGATTGCCTTAAGCCACAGAAAGCTTAAAGACTCGATGTCGCCAATTCGATAGGGTGAATAGGGGCCGCGGATAAGATTACCTCGGCAACACCTTTATGGGGTTTTAAAAGTGTTAGTTTCTACACAATAAAATACTTACACATTTTCCGAGCAAATAAAATCACATAGATACAAGATGTTATTAAATACTTGGTTACATTCACATCATCATCACATCAACAGCCTTTAATAGTCCACTGCTGGACATAGGCCTCTCCTTAGAAATGAGGTTTTGGCCTACTATACCACGCTGGCCAGACGGGCTGGTATAGGGCTTGTGTCAAGTTTTACTTCTCTCTGCAGTGCTGTTGTTCTGCGTAGTGTTCTCCCTTAGTCGGATCTTACGACACACACGGGATGAATAGGGGCCGTGACACTCTGTATTATTAATCCGTCACCAAACGGTTATAAAACTTATAAATATTTCTGCAATAGTATATTGACGTATTTGCTATGAAGTTGTTGAAGCGTATGTTTACGTAAGGCAAATTGTCTAAGTAAGTAGATAAAGATAGGAAAGGTCTATCGATGAATTAAAATCGAAGCAGGGTTTAAAAACTTTGCAATATTTTTTCGTCCATTATAACTTAAGTCGTTACGTTACGAGTAAGTGTCTTAAACAAATGTTTTCAACGTGTGTATACGAGTATTGCATGTGACAAGTAATGACATATGGATGCGAAACATAGATCTGTAGGCTTGATTAGCAAACTCAAACTTCTTCACTGAGCTATGGAAAGAGTTACGCTCGGGGTTTTTTTTTCTACTATCGAATCAGAAATACCCGAAAGTTAAACTAATCTGATATTATGGTCGTAATTGTTCTCGTACGTGTTTGTTGTACCTAATTTTCAATTGTTCATTTTCTTACAGTTCCAAGCAACAGACATTTCGAGCCTTAATTTGCAAACATGACAAAATTACAATCCTTTATTCCCCCTTTGATATAACTATATATGTATTCCCATACCCATCATGAATTCCCAGTGCCCGGTTGAAAGCAAAAGTCTCGCCCCTGTTACGTGACTTGGACTAAATTATAGTTGGTAAATGTTGGAGTTTAATACGCCCCCTGGTAGGTCTTCGCACAGGCGTGAGCACGAATGGATTTTAGTGTTACTGAACGTTGTACATATGTATATATAACAATATTATCAAGTACTTAAAATGTAAAACTGTATGTGAGTGTAATACATGTGATAGGAAACATGCTTTTCCGCCTATTGTAATGAAATTATTAAAGTAGACATGACCTGAAGAATTTTAATATAAATATATAAAATTAACTATCGTTATCATCATCACTAAACTTAGTAGAGTTTCTACTAAACCATTTACAAAAATAGTAGACGTTGTTTACGAGTTATTTATGGATACAGTCAGAACATGGATATTAAAATTATTCACACTTTGCTGGTTTAAAATTATATCGATATGAAAGACGATAAATTAGCAACAAAGCAAAGACTGGAGCAGAAATTAGGCGCTTGTAAGATGGGAGACAGACTAGTACATTATAATCTGCTTACTTGGCGTCGTAATCTCGCTCCGCCAGTGCATACCCCACTGCCTTTTTAGGCAAAAATGTCTTGCTGAGGCTGCGTTTCTATCAAATATATATGGGGAAACTGAACGGTGGCGATACTAGAATGAGTAGCAAAGCTAAGCAATGGTATAAATATTTATTCAGGAGAGACAATATTTGATAGCAAGCTTATATTTATACCACAGAGGGAACATACCATTACACGAGCATCAAAAATGTTGGAATTTTGGTTTAGAAACGTCAGACTATTTCAATCGCACAATACAAAAATATTACTCTACAATTACCTCATGCTATACTGGAGTATCGTGATACAGTCTAAGGTTGGACAGAGTACAGAAACGGTTTCTATGGCATTTAGCCGTTACCGCAGGAATAGCTCACAAAAGAAAATTGTATGATGGCAGATTGGCACATTCCCAATGACTTCGTTGCAAAAACGTCGTATTATATTGACGCTGATGTTTATATTTAAGTTCTTTATATTTAAGTTTAAATTTCGCGCTCCAATTAGAAATCCCCTTGCACCCGTAACCCCGTTGTATCCACCACTTCGTAGAACCGTACCTGGTGCTAACTCAGCTTCACCTCGTCTTTGTAGAACCATATTTAGTCACTCTGCTGTCATAGATGTGCACGTGGACTCGCTAGCCACATACCGCAAAGGTATTAGAGTGTGTTGTAATGTGTATACTATATGTCTATACTGTGTCTGTAATCATTTATCGACCAATTAATTGTAGAATCCTTTTTTTTACAAACGTAATATGCAAATTGTCATTTTTTATTTAAAGTGGCCTGTGGCTACTACGCTAATCACTGTTTGTTTATTTTTTGTAACTGTCATCACTTTTTTAGATGTAAATAATTTGTGCATGTATTGTGTAAATTTTTAATGTAAAAGAAAATTGTATTAGTATAAGCAACTGCTTGTAAGCTTACATAATAAATAAATAATTATCACAAACATCAGCATATGTACAATATGTAGATAATATCATGTTCAACTTTATGTCTGACGTTTAATTTATCACAATAACCACACTTCTAATTAATTATCACGCACCAATGGTAATTGGGTATCGATTAGAGGTAGACAGTAGATTATTAAATCTACTATTAAATTTACTGTAGTATATTCACTTACGTGCCAGAGCTTATTATAAACGAAGCTTTTGGCGTTTGATTTCTGGAAAACTGCTTCATGTTTTTCTTGGCTAAAATTGAAGAGAGGTCAATTAACAATAAAACTGTTTAATTCTATTCATTTAAATTAGTCGAGTCACCATTGTGTCAATGCTCAACACCTAACTCTCATTATGAACAATCTGCTCATCATATCCTCTGGGAATGTAGTCTTTGGTATAATGAACGTAATATAATGCTGAATAGCTTGCAGGTGACATCTGGGGCGGTATACTATGGGGATCTTGTGTCAACTAGGGTGAATTTCCGTGCGTTTAGGCGATTCTGCCATACATATTATAGAAATCAAATATAGCTCATGTAGGACCCGTAATATTTTGTGGCCGTGGTGCTTCCCTGTTTAAAAGGGTGTATGCCTATTTTACTTCATTTTGTCTCCCGCTTTGCTAAGGAGGGAAGTGGATTTACTGTATTTCCAACTCCTCCAATTTTCTTCTGATTAATTTGTTGCGGGTTCCAAGACAGTTTAATTTCTTCCTGGGACTTCCCGAGTGTCAAAACTCGGTGTGTTCGTGGGTCACTGCTGTGGATCCTGGTGTACAGGAGTTACAGTGGTGGGCGTGTGGGTGGGATTAGTCCCAAAAAAAAAAATACTCCTGGCTCCTGAGTCCCCGAGGAGAAGGAGATCAGAAGGCATTTGCCACTCCGTAAACAAAAAAAAAAGATTTAGAACTGCAAAAGCGTCCAATGTGTGGTTTCAATTGTCAAACAGTAAATGTATATTCCGCTTTGACTATGTTGTCTTTTTGCACGCCATAACAAAGAGGTTTTGACTAGAAATGAAATAAATAGCCTAATACCTTGACAAATAATCTGGATGCTGGATCTTGTTTCCTTTGAAGTTTAAAATTATGGGACTGAGCTAAGAACTCCAAATTACCGCCAAGCAAAAAGGCTAAATTGGAAAGTCTTTTTAACTCAACACTATTAAATACCACAGTGATTCTTTGTCTTATAAATCGCAGCGATTTAATTCAACATTAAAAACAAAACGACATAAAAAATAAGTGAACTTCTTTTCATTTGAATAAGACATGTGAGGATCGTTTGCCGAAAGCCTGCCCTTTGTCTGAATTAAGTACGGCCAGTAAAAAAGTGACGTCTACTTGGTTTACATAAGCCCGGTAGAAATTTGTGAAGCAATTTACTTTATGGTAGTCGGTTTCCGCAATATATATGTTCGCTCACGTTGGAAAATATCCAGTATTTACTTAGAAAATATTTTATATTTAAAATTACGTAAATGTTTCATCTTATTTAAGAAGGAGCTATATAGTTCATGTTTTATTTTGTATAAAGTATAATTCATGTGATATTCTATTCATAGTGATCCCGTATCGCAATTTACTCTTTGGAGTTTGTTTTTTAAATTGATTGGATGAGAAATTAGCACTACATAGACTACAGTGAGCTATAATACTGAGTAATGACTATGAGTGTCTTTTGTGATTTATATATACTGTGA